CTAACATTTCAGAGGGTCTTTAAATTGTAGAGGACAGACCACAGTTACAAACCTTAATTTCTTCCTGTTGTTTATAGCCTACATTTATCCATCGCTGTGTTTTCCCAGATTATGTATGACCCATATTTAATAGCTGCACTTCTGGAAAATAATGAAACTAATCTTACTTTTAGCCACCACACTCTTCACAGTGTCTGCTTGCTTTGCGGCATCTTGCTCCATAGTATCCACAGGCCTGGAGAAGTTTGACTTGAAATTCCTGTAGAGATGCATCATGTAGGTTGGTAGGTGGTACCCTGTGGATCGATCCATCGCGGGAAAACGCTGGAGCGACCTCAGATAAACTCCATCCCCGTTTGGTTGATCCCCCTGAGCCAGAGCCAGCAGCACGAGCAGATATACGTGCAGCGCGACAACCAGAGGTCCCAATGAGCGCATACTAGCGGTTAATGACAAATTCCCCTACACGGAGATTAGGTGTGTCTTATATACTCTCACCCACCCCCTTCCATGTTTAACAAGTAGCTGAGAACATTAAAGGAAATTGACATGCGTCCTCAAGACTTGTTACCTGACAGCTCATCATCCATTCAGTTGGTAATGAGGCGCTTGGGTGCGTATTTACTAGGAGGGCAGCTTTTTGTTTGCACCATGTTCTTTGGACTTCTGATTCCCCATCCTTGGATTAATTGTTTCAGCTAGCCTATTTGGCTTACACTAATTGTTAGGCTTTCCCACAGTCTAATGTAGTCTACTGAATACCGTCTGAAATGGACTATGTGGAGACTTATTGGGCTGCTGTGCATGTAAGACACAGACTATTGAAACATTAAAAAACATTAACATAAAGGACATTGTTGTGAAAACATCACCCAATATTCATTTATTTATTGTACTATTGTGTGCAACTTATCTTCTATTTTAAACATCTGCTGTATGTGCATGCAGGGCTCCACACAAGGATAGTAAGATAAAAGATAAAACATTGAGATAGATAGAGGAGCATAACAAAATAAGACAAGGTCAATGAAAACTTATTGTTGACAGACACCATCAGGACCAGCTGTGGTAGAATTAAACAGGAAATAGCCACCTTATCTCTTTTTATCATATTTTAACTTCCCAAGGTTCATTAATTATATTCATGCACTGTTTATGTAGGGCAATATATCTTATTTATAAATATTGCCCTACTTTTTATGGTGTTTTAGGTTTTTCACATTATTATTACTATAATAGCCTATAATATTATATGTTCCTCCGGGCCTATAAGTTTGAAGTGGTGGACCAATGATGTTTGCATGCCACAATGCCACAAAGCTCAGTTATTAGTGTAGTTGGATGTAGGTTTGGATCTGGATAATTACAGTTAAGAGAGACGAGCACAGAGCGCCCGAGGATGACCGCAGAGTGCGCATGCGCTGTATGTCTTCATTCACATAGCAAAATCCTTTTCCTTGTAAATTTCCCGAGAAAGGACAAAAATAATCAATGGATGTTCTTTCCAGTGGGATAAACAGAAAGCGGTGCACCACGGCTACAACCTCCACATCGGACGAACCAAGCTTGGAAAACGCGCTTTGCTAAGGGGCCAAGACGCCTTTTTTCATCTACCGTGAGCTGAAATGGTGAGTAGCTTTAAAGTTTACGGGCTCTTGTTGCACGAGCCACGGCAGCCTAAAAGTAGAAACATTAATGCCGTTTTGGATGCTGAGTCGCTTAACTGCGTCTGAATACCTTTTTATTAATGATTCATTATAAATATTTTCAGACGCGCACTTTGACAAGACTTGAACTATTTTTTTTTTCATGATGCGAAAGTGTTTGTGTGGTTGATAGGGCATAGCCTACATGTGCTTGGCACCCCCCCCCCCCTCTCCATGCCTGCACTGTAGTGTGCACTGCATCTGGCCAAAGATTTGGTCACAAGCAGGGATGAATAATAAAAAGTTGGGTAAACTGTGACGTGCAGAGATACATACACTTTCAGATTGGCTCTATGTCAATTTAAAAAGTTGTGAGAACTACAGCACATTGAAACAGCAATGTTTGGGTTATGTGGTAGCTTTTTTAAAATAACATTTGCACCTTTGCAAGCAATTTACTAGCTTCACTGTATCATTTATGTACTGTGTGAGATTATTTAAGGTCAATATACTGAAGAAGACAGAATTGCAACTGAAAGCTTTGAAAAGCTAGTAAGTGGATCTTTGAACTTATTTTGTTACCCATATGGTTCCCAAAGGTCAAAAAATGCTCTCAGATATACTATGTTATAGCCAACACATGATATGATATATGTATTTATCCTCATAGGCAGAAAAAGTACTAGACCTTTTTTTGAATGCAATGCAAAAACATTTTTCTACATTTCTGAAACACTGAAGCGGAGTCTGTATTGCCCATAGACATAATCAACATTCATGAAATGCGCCGCCATATGTTCATTCTTCCCATTAGGTGCAATGTAAAGTATGAAAAGTCTATTTTAGTGCAGTAAGACAAAGCACATGATGCCCTTTGATGTACTGCAGTGCTGGCCATTGTTTGATTTAGTCCATGCAGCTGGGACCAGTCTCCTCTGCTCATATCACATTACCTCAGACAGAAACTGGCTCTTGACAACCGAGAGTGCAGATCAAACCACGGACATCACAATTAATCAAGAGTGAGAGCATGAAACTCCTCGATTAATGGATACCTGGATCAGAAATGATTGAGCTGTTTAATTCTTGGTTTATCATGGTAAATAGGAATAAATAGGAATACTTTGCTCCTCCCTGGCTTGACTGGAAAAGTTGCTAATTTTCTTCTTGTGAAATGTTGTCATAGCCTTTGCTTTATTATAAACTATTTATGTGTTGAAGGGATATTGGTTGCCCCTTAAAACCCAGGGTTTATTGAGCAGATGTGAGAAATAGTTGATTTTTTATAAAAGATTTAAAAGCCAGATTGTTTTGATCCAAATTTGCAGCCTTTAAAGTATCTGTATCTATTATGCCAAGTTATTGTATAAACACCTGTTTGGAGTTGACATAGTTGTCATAAGATAATGAACATCTGTGTCCCAATGACTAGATATGTGTATACGCCTGAGTGCAGTGCATAATTTTTACCACAAGGTGTCATTTGATCACCAGACTCGAGTAAATATTCAATATCCACCAAAATATGTCTGTTTAGGTCAGTGGTTCTCAAACCCTTTCACATTAAGTACCCCTAAAACTGACACAAATTCGACCACGGTTTGATAAGATTTTGTCTCAGGGTTTCCCGTTTGATAGGATGTTTGCTTTTAGATGTTGTATTACAGAAAGTGTATGAAACCTATGACACAAGTAGTCATTATTCTGTCATTGTGTTACTTATGAATGGAATTTATAACAAAAATAATTTTTCCCTTTTTTTGCTGGGGACTCCCTGGAATCCCGTCAAGGACCCCTGGGGTTCCCCAGACCCCTATTTAAGAACCACTGGTTTAGGTGATCTCATTGCCATTCCATCTTTCCAGGAGTATTCGTGTTGGCTATTTATTTCTTAACTTAACAGTATTTTTGATTCAATTTGCCAGTCGCTTCACCACACTGGGAGAAAATACAAAGAACATTTAAAAGAAGTTCATGTCGTATCCAAATATCATTTTATTATCATGCTGCTCATAGGAGCTTTGGCTCAAGTGAAATATTTCCCTTCACAATCTTCCTTTTACCCTTTCCTGTTGCTGTTACAAAGCTTTTAGCAGGCTTTTTGGGGCTAAGACAGACACCAGACCTGAGAGACGATTTGGACTAGACAGGTGATATTAGCCTTATGCTCCTTTTTCCATTGGGGACATCTACCAAAGAGGAAGTTTTTCTTAATTTGAACATCCACTTACTCCTAATGTTGCTCTGCTTTATCGCAGTCTAATAAAAATGGGAGTAAATCAAGGCTTCTGACCCTGTCAGAGTGACTTGATGTGTGTGTTTTTTGTTGCCATTTTGTAGGTTTTTTGGCACTTTATTTAATGAAATTCTGTGTCTTTCATCGGTATCTACAACTTCTTGTTTCTTGATATTTGGTTTTGTTCTTACAGAAATAAGCCCCAGGAAAGAACATCATTGTTTATGATTGCTCACCCACTGCTGTTCTGAGGCTTTTCAGGCTTTTCTTTTTCTCTTTTTCACATTCATCATGTTGCAAGAACATCAGAGTCTTGGCTTGCATTGCTGCTGCAGGAAGGAAGGAACAGGTGTGGCAGCAGAAGATATTACATCCATATCTCGAAAACCACTCAACACTATTGCAAAGAAGCTTAATTTGGACACTTTCTTGTAAAAAAAAAAAAAAAACCTACAGATTGTTACAGATATTTTCTCAGGCAGCCACTTCAACTTGATGTTCTGTGTTTTGGAATCATGGTCATGGTCATTTTGTACGTTTGGGTCTGTACAGGTATACCATGACTGGACACTGTTGGCTTTGTTCTTCCCGCAGGATGAAATAGGACACTCAGTGCATGAAGAGTTGGTCTGACCTCAGGGTTACGACTACAAGAGGTAAAGCACACAGCCTTTTGCAGCTGAACCTCAAGCTTAAATCTAAGTATTTACCCAGCTGTAAGCCTGTTTGCCTTCAACATGGAACGTGTTAACCACTAATGAGTGGAGTAATTAGCGCATCATAGTGAATTAGGGTTACATGATGTCATCTGTGTGCAGTTGTCAGCCTACTCACCGATCTGCATTACACTGTGTCGATGTGGGTTAACGGCTGATTGCAATAAGTTGAAGTGAAGGTTTAAATTATGTGTTTGAGACAATTGTGAAAAGGTCGGCCATGTGTGGGAGGAATTGTACTGCCAGGAGGCTGGCTCCGGTAGTGATTGGATAGTGAACGGGATGATGAGTAAGCCTCCCTGGGTCCGCCTCCACATCCTCTTTACGCATCCCCACACACACACACACACACACACACACACAAATCTCTGCATGCGCAAGTAGCCTTGCACCTCATGCACAGGGGATGTTTGCAAAAAAGTAACAGAAAACCAACTAGGGAGTATCCCGTCACCCATCTAAACCTCAAAGGGAGAGCTTTGTAACTCCTCTAGTCTTCTCCTGCAGAGTGCTTGTCTGGGATCTGTCCTCACTGAAGGACGAGTTCAATGACTCGCTTTATAAGGACACCTTAATGATGCGAGACCGCTGCCCACCGTAGTGTGATCAGCGGGAGGAGACAGATTGCCTCACAGATCAGAGAGAGAGAGAGAAAAAGAGGAGAGCGACTGATGCCAGCAAGGATGTCTGACTGAGACCGGTGCCGCTGTCATTTTGGTTATTTTTAACCCACTATTTTCTGTTTTTTTCATTGTGTTCCTCAGAGAATCCAGCACCTCTCGGATGGTGGACTGATCAGCTGAATGTCAGGTATAGTTATATTTTACTCTCTCTGCTTTATGATACTTGAGTCCTGCTGTAGGCTTGTGGTCGCTAGACATGTCATCAGTATGTTTCTGAAGAATACAAATAAGGAAATGTACGTTGTTGTCTAAATATCACTTCAGATGTCCGTGGTGGTTTTTATCTCTTTCATGAGACTGAAATTTAACACTTAATTATCTTAATCTGTTGTAGAATATAATGGTGCCTTTCCATTTTGCAGGGAGATGCCAATACTTTTAGTTTTAACACATTCTTTTATAATACCAGTAATGTAAATTATTCACAAAGCTACATGGATTACCTTCTTCTTGGCATGTGATGCCAAGTCTCTCCTCTCTGGTGTTTATCAGCTCTCATTCCTTTACCAGAGAACCAGAGCCCGTTTGACAGGATTCAGGCATTCCCATGTCAACTTAGAAAATGCTGCATCTAAGTCAGGATGGTGTTTGCACATACGGCTTCAGCCTGAGTGGCAAGCGAAACATGTTAACAAGTTGGTGTAAAATCTGTCTGTTTGGAGAGGTCCGCTGAAGCATTCACGAATAAAATTGTCAGTTGGCCGGGCGGTGCTGACAGAATATTGTGGTCAGACGCTGAGGTTTAGAAAAAATGAAAGCCACATTACTGCAGACTTGAAATCATAGGGGGATAAAAATTGCCATCTTAAAATGAAATAAATTACAGGCTTGATTTTAAAAATAGACCTGCACACCCATTTTTAGCAGCTCAGTGTCAAGCTGTGATAAAAGCAAGAATGTTGAAGGCTAAAGGTTATTCATGTGAATAATGTCATACTCCCTCTAGTAGCATAGTTTGTTTTTGTCTCATTCATGGAGTCCCATCAGATTGGCTGCTTTAGCTGGAGAGAAGGGCTTTTCAGTCAGTTGTTTTCTAGTCAGTTTGTGCACTCTTGCATCTTGCAGCACGAAAGCTATCTGGGGTCATTTGATTTAGATTTGGAATGTGTGAACAATGCATCGCATGGCTTCCTTTTTGTCGCTTTTTGAACAGCCCATTGGGCAATTTATTTTGGACAAAAAAATGGAACATCAGAGCTGTAAGTTGACACAAACTCACAATGAGGTCTTTGGAACAGTTGAGGGAAAACAAAAAAGACTCTCTCCTTTGGAAGCACTGAGCTCATTTCCGTGCTGCACTGATATTTAGCTTAGGAACTAGCAATGTCCTGTGGAGTCACGCCTGCATGTAACCCTTAACCGCATTGGTGAAATATGTGTACAGCTGCAGGGAGGAAGTTTCAGAGAGTACAGCTAAGCATTTCCTGTCAAGGTGTGCTTACACTTCCTTTGCCTGGGGGTGTGTGACCGGGTTGTTTTGAATGGTTTGGTGTTTTAGTATCCTGTGATGAGTGAGAAACTGTAGGACATTGTGCCTTTTGATATAAATAACACTAGGACTGGATTACTGTTAATTGGCGTACACACTCAAAACAGATTCAAAACGTAGTTATAACTGCATGATACATCCGTTTATGTTATAGCCATATAATTCTGCTGTTTTTATATGGGTTTGTTCAGCCAGCAGGCTTTCAGAATTAACATTGGTAGACTGAATGAGTGTTCTCCTTGGAGACCAGAAATGCCCAGGATCCTTGAATAAGCTGAGTAATGTTGCCAAGTAAGCAAGTTGCATTGAATTTTGACTCTTTTTTTTTTGTTTGTTTGTTTGTTTTGTTTTTTGTGGTTCTTGCTGCCATGCTTACGGCTCTCTTCTCCATCTTGATATGGGAAGTTGTGTTGAAGGATCCCCTAAACGTTATAAAGTGATAACCATCTCCCTTGAACCCCTGCATCTCTTGTGAATGAAGAGTGCTCTGCATCCTTCCTCGGGGCCACTAACAGATGCATCCTGCAGCTGCACGCTCCTTCCTGTCTGCGCTCAGGCCTTTTTGTCTGAAGACGTTGCTACAGCAAAGTTGGGACACCAGCTGAATTTAAATTTGGCAACCCTGAATGGGGCAATGCTGGTAGGTTGGCAAGAGGCTCCAGTTTCCATAGTCTTATTGTTAATGTGCAATCAGTGAATTTAAATATCAGTGCCTTTCACTAACTCAACCAGCAGTCCACAACCTGTCGGGCATTGCCACACAAAGGTTCACTCCAGATCATCTATTTTCTTTGTTGTTCCACGTTGTCAGAGGAAATCCGAGTTTGTCTTGTCGTTTTATTGGCCTCACGAGTAGTGCGACACTACTTTGGTTGACATGTGGTATAAACAGCCTCTCTGATGAGTTGCCTTGATTGGATCTCCAGGAGGATGTTTATGACTGAGTGCTATTTCTACTCAGGCCTCCGCCCCAGCTGCTCACCCACTAGACCAGGCCTGCCCTTACTGAAATCAGTGTGGCTGACGAGCTGAGCTTGTGTGTGGCAGGAACACCCGTATCATAGTGTGCACCATGGTCTCGCAACAGAGGTTTTAAGGCTATAAGGTAAGCAAGAGGAGGGTTGTCTATGTACCAGTTTCAGTGAGCAAGCTACTGTATGTACTGCGTATTTAATAATGTCACATTTCCTTTGTAGGCCAGTAAAACTGAAGCTTCTGTCAGGAAGTGTCATTTAGCCTCATTTAACACTCAGATGTTTACAAATAGCAGCAAAACAATAAGATATAAAAAGTTAGTGTGGATGGGGATAATTGGAGAATCTGTTGTCAAGAGTGTTTTATAGCCTTCGACTGAGCCACATAGGAACATGCATATTATCATGCATGACTGTGGTGGTGGGTAAAGGAAAACCTGCTGATTAAATGTCCTTAAAGTGACAGAGAAGCAAAAAGGTTTGCCATGTAAATGCTCTTTACTGTGAGGAATGCAGAGACTGTATGTTCTGTTTTCAGTCCAAATAGGAAGTTAAGGAGAACAGATGACATTTTATGTCTGTCATGTTTCATATTGTACGTAAACTTTTTTTTGCTAGTGCAGAAGACATAACAGTAGGGTTGCAAAAAAACTTTTCTATTACTATTTATTCATATCAGTTTTATTCATATAGGCAAAAATCACACATTTGCCTCAAAAGGCTTTACAATCTGTAGAGCATACAACACATTAGGCTCTTGGTTTGGATAAGGCAGACTCCCCAAAAATGCAACAGAGGAGGAATTCCTCTTCCAGACCAGACATAGATGTTGTGAATACAGAGTAGTTTTTCCATCCACCTGTTTAAATGCACACATTAAATTTGACGCCTTGATTTATGATAAATCCACTGACTCTCCTGCTCCACTGGAGAGATTAAAAATGTGTGGAACGTTTAAGAGACTGTAACCTTCCTCATGTTAATACATGATACCGATATGAATGGCGTGTCTCCATTAGAGCCTGACCGATAAATCATGTTATGAGTGTTGTTGTTGCATAGAGGGCACTCTGCAACTCCCCTGTTAGCAACATGTTTGGAACGCCACAAATCCACCACAAAACACAGCAATCATTTGAAATAGTCAACACAAAAAAAAAAGCTTATTTGTAAACTGCATTATGTCATATTATCTTGCCGAGGTCTCCTAACTATACATAACATATGTTCGGGATAATCTTTGTTTCTGAAAAGAAAAATATCGGCCGTTATTTTGGAATATCTGATTTTAAAATCTCAACCTCAAATATCAAAATTTGTATCGGTCTTGAAAGTCACATCGGTCAGGCTCATTATGTTTTCCACGTTATTTTCATCATGGAGACCGTTTTTCATTAATTTAAGGCTTGACTTGCGCTTTTTTTAATTACATCATCTCGTTGTGTGTTCTTTTTCTGCAATACATTACTGGAACCCAACTGGAGAATCACCTGTCTGTTATCTTGACATATCAGCAGCAGATGGAAACGTGCATAAATCTGCAATTTCTTTTGCTGATTTTCAGAAAATGTGATTAAAATTTGGGCTAAATGTGTATGGAAACATAACTTAACTTAATAACAATAGTAAAATTACAAAATAAACAAACAGTATGACAGTGATCTTTTTATTGTTAAATGCCAAAAATAGTGAAAAGTGTCAATCACAAGTTGCCAGAGCTCAAGACAACTTCACATAGCATTTTCTTATCCGACAAACAGTCCAAAACCCAAAATATAAATGTACAGTTTTATAAAACACCAAAAAGCAGTATAGCCTCTCATTTGAGAAGTATTGATAAGCGACTTTGATAAATTTGATCGATTTAAGTTATCATTCCAACGTGTTCCTTTATGCTGCTCGCTGTACAGTACAAGACTCAACTGTGTCGTCTTTGTGCACAGCCTGTCCCTGTGAAATGGAGCTGAACTTTAGCCATCTGGCTGCCAGATGTATCACTACTTCTCCCGGTCCCCTCCGTAGAGACTTGAGTCCCTTTCATGAATCTACTCTCCAGACGGGAGATAGGACTCGAGGACGCTGTCTGAAAGCTCGAGCTCCTGAAGTTTTTATCCACTGCCAAGCAGCCAGGCACTTTTAACTTCCGGGAAGGGGTGTTTCCCACCGACTTGGGGTGGGCGAAGGGATCCGAAGGAGGAATATTTCTTTTTGGCTGTGATGCTAAGTTTTCACACACTTATGGACCATGGCAGAGAACAAGCAGCAAAGAAAAGGATATGGCCGTACAGATCGCTTTTCATCTCACACGTAAGATGTCAAATTTTGGTGAATTGTTGTAGTGTTGAGGGTTTTTGTTAGTTTTTTTTGTGATAGTCTCAAAAATGATGGCAGCAGAGATGCTTTTGGTATGTGGTGATGGCTCAAACATTTGGGCAGCTGGAACACAGGATTCTTGAAAACTTAGCTTCCTTATATGGAACTAGGGTAAAGATTCTGCCTTTGTTTTACTCTTCAGTCTTTTTACTGCAGTTATTTCATACATAACATACACAACATATTTCCTAAACTCATACAATTATTCAAGTGAAGCTGTAAAATAATTTATATCTGTACTTTAAACCCCGCCAGCAGACAAAATAACAAACAAATCAATATGTTGTTATTTTCAATGTTGGGCTTGAGAGAAGAGAATCTCCCTACCGAATCAAACGGTACAAGGTTGACCTGCCCACTCAGCTTCAGACGCAACAAAGAGGAGAGTAGCGGTGACTCACCCGGCACTTCTCTCTCCTTTCGGCACAATGAGCGTCCACTCTATTCAGAGCTGGAGATCACACAGAGGTGCTTTGAGCTGAGGCGACAATCAACCTTGCCGTACCCCTCAGCTGTGTCACATCAAGTAGATTTAATGATGGATTGATTCTGTGCTTTTGGCCAGGTCTACACTTTGCAGCTCCAGTGTCACAGTTATGTGGATCTGTCAGTTTGTGTTGGGTGACACACTGCACTTTTCTGTTGTTGTTTAAGGTTTTTATGTTTCATTTGTGTATTTCTGTGTGTCTTTCTCTGTTTGTGTGCTCTGGCGCAGTAGGTTCCTGACCAGCTGCACGTTATAAGTGAAGTGGAGGAGCAGTGTTATTCCTGACTACTAGCTTGTTAGAAGACTCGTTTGTTTATCTGCAGAGCTCCCTGCAAAGCTCACTGTTTATTCAGAGGGGAGGACCTTTACTTGAAACTAGAGGCTGGCTTGCGTGGGGGTCTGAGTCCTCAGTATCAAGTCGTATGATTAAAATGTAAACACTGTTACACTCGACTCTAATCTCATGCCACTATGACTATATTGTAGAGATAGGAAACTAATTATCATTGTAATTTGAGTGCCGACTAACCTTTAAAAAGGTTTTTTTATGAGCCACTGGCTAAACGTCTGTCTGTTCTGCCTCTCTCAAAAGGCTCTCAAAACTACTCCTTTTACATGAGTAACATTTATCACATAATTTATTATCATGTAATAAATCACAAAGGAAATAATAGCAAGAGCACTTGGACAGCATCTCAAGTTTAGAGAATAATAATTATGCTAAATATGAAGCACAGAGAGTTAGACAGAGAAAAAACAAAAAAGTCAACCTCGTAGTAGCGCTCAAGGAAAAGTCATGGGGTCATCTAAATCAGAAGGATTAGTCCTCTGGGGACTGGGCAATCCATCCAGTAGCAGTTGAGATATTTCCATCTGGTGGACCAAGAGGGACAGACCGACATTGCCATCCCAAGAGTCATCCTGCTAGAAATTTGTTTAAAATGTGAAAAATAAAATAAATCTGTATGTTACTTGAAACATTTTCATGTCATTTATATAATATCATGACTAATAATTTTTTTTGGACGTGTGAGACATTCACCAATCACACTTAAGTCTGTGTACTTCTGTTTGAGAGTGGCGTTTGCTTCCTTCTGAGTCCGCTGTGATGTCATTCACAGCTGCTTGTGGAGCATGGGTACAACTGCCAGTGCCGCACCACAGCCTGTTTCTGTAGCGTCGCCGCTTGAGAGTGTCCATGGCAACGGGATGGCCGACAGCAGGCAGTCTCTTAGCATGAGCCCCTTTCAGACAGTCAACATCCACAACAACAAGGCCAAGTCCATTATCACCAACAAAGTCGCACCTGTTGTCATCACGTAAGTCCCTCCCCGAATCCGCGTTCTCACAATTGGGTGTTAATCCTCTTTGATCACTGCGGTGACATCCCCCGCACCCCCAGCCGAAGTGTTTGCCCCTGTTATCTCATTTGTCATTCCAGGCCTGGCAAATAGTAGCTGATAATTGAATTGACTCTGTTTACCATCCAGAACTGCTGCTGTGTTCTGTTTTACAGGTATAATTGCAGACAGGAATTTCAGATTCATGATGAAATCCTCAAGACCAACTACAAAGTCGGTCGGATATCGGACGCCATGCCCGAGCACTACCTGGTGCAGGTGAGGACAGCATGCAGGACAAACCTCAACAAAGCAGCACACTAATGGTGGAAAGACGTGGAATCAGCTCACCTGTCTTTACGTCTGCTCTTTTCACATTCACATGCCCAAATTGCAGAGTGGCATAGTCAACATTGTCATGCGCTGTTTTATGATCTGGGGCAGCCATTGAAACAGGAATTTTGTCACCCTTCTATCAGGGCTTTGATCTGCTCTGTCACCTCTGCTGTGTCCATTCAGGCATGCAGTGTTTTGTCAGCGTTAGCCCACAGCCTCTGTTTACATGTAGATAGGTCAGTAATATCACCTACAGTAAGATCATGTCCATGTGAAGGCATATACATTTCAAAACACAACATTTCCTTCCATCTGCCCCGGAGTTTTGTTTTCACAACTGAAAACAGTGCTTTTTAAAAACACTCCAGCCTCGTGTAGGAGTGTGGACATGAAAAGATGTGTTCCAGAACGATGAAATATGTCTGCTCACACTGAGGTTGTGTATCAGAAATGTGAGGATCACACACTACAGGTGTTGTCAGTAGAAATCAGTAGCATTTTATCAAATCTGAATCCAGTTCTAATATTCCAACCATTTCTAAATCAAATCTTTTTAGGTGGTTTGTTGGAGAATGAATATATCTTTGTTAAATATATAGAACATATGTATAATATGTTCTGTTTTTATTTCACTCTGTATCGTAACTAAAATAGCGAGGTGAAAGGGTGAAGGGCTTTCACCACATATTTTGTCACTGCTCTCATTAACATTCATTTTTTCAATGAATAAATTGCGTTTGCTCCTCACTGTGCTGCAGCTGCAGAAGTAAAAGCACAGTGGAAATAATATTAATTCCACTTTGTCATTCAGAACATATCAACTAACTATTAACCAATGAGTTGTTGTTTTTTTTTTGCATGCATGATGCACTTCATGTCACCTGTAGGTGAAATTGCTCTTGCACGGCTACAGGTCACAGAATCTGACGGGTCACTCTCTCTGATACACGGTTGAAAAATATGTAAGCAAGGGACTTGTTGTTCCCTCTCCTTTGTTTTGAGTAAACTCTGCATGTATTGCATTTCGTTTGAGATTTGATAAGAGATTTGTTGGCCGCGGAGCTGAACAAATCCATATTTTACCAACCGGCTATCCGAACCCATCCCTGGTTAACACTGATCTGTATTTATGTTTAACTAGTCAAGACAATTTTGAAAAATAAAGTTAAGTGCAGCAGTGTAGGAATTAATGTTAAACTCTATGAACGACAATCACGTGATCATTTTATAAGTTGACAAACGTATAAATTTTTGAAAATGTTGCTCATTCAGCTCTACTGGATGAACAACATTTGTGGATAGACGGAGGCAACATAAGAGAGATTTAACCTGTTGAGACAACAGAGTAACTGGACTGTGTCTGGGTTTTTTTTTGCCAACAGAAAGAGGAAGAAGAGACCATTTTCCAATTTTTGGTGTTTCAGTGTGGGTGAACTAAGAACTAAAAATGTAACTAAAAAGCTTAAAATGCCTGAGAGGATATGCAAGTCGTTTTCACAACACTTTGGTGTTGACACATTTGCTCTGCAGAATTTACTAATGCTAATGCATACTGGATTGGAAGCTGGAGAAATATCGATTTGGGGACATACTGTCCGATAAAAGTCAAATCAAAGTTGATTTTCTTTCCAGGGGGAGTACTTCATGGTCCAGGATGTGTACAGCAAGGCAGATGTCCTCAACACCACAGGCAGCTATGGAGCACCCAACTTCCGTCAATTGAAGGGGTCCTACCCGCTGTATGGGATGGGTCAGCCGAGCCTGAACGGTTTCAAACAGGTTCTTCAGAGGCTCCAGGCCCAGGGACACGAGGTCACTGTTATTTTCCTTTACACTTATTTATACAGGCAGGAGTTTGGACCAATGCACATGAGCTCGTCCATTTTGTCCATATGTTGACTTGTAGATTTTATGCCCTTAATTCCTGTGTGTTGGTCACTGTAACAGAGCTGGCCTGTTTCTAGCCGTGTTGTCAGTAAATATTTGAGGAGTCAAGTGCTCGCTGGAGGCTGTGGCTGAATTGTAGAAGTGAGCAAACAGAAAGTTGTGGTCATGTGTACCAGTGGAAAATGAATCTCTCTGCTTACGGCAGCTAGAAACTGACCGTAATTGAAATGAAATTGACAAAATTATATGTCAGGCCTCTCTAAACTCCATCCACATGTGCTGCATGTCATATGACAACAGATTGTTTCCAGTTGTGCTTGGAAGTGGTGCAACAACCATTTTCTTTAAAAAGCTGTTATTTGATGCCTAGGTTGCTGTGCTTTTGCAAACAGGAGGTTATATTCTTCTGTGTAAGAGAGGAGCCTGTGGTTTTCCTGCACAAGGAGGAAGACTTTGTGCCGTACACCCCCAGGAGGAAGGAAAACCTCCATGAGAACCTTCATGGCCTGGAAAAGGAGGAGCTGGTGGAGAGTCTTGAGCTCACCATCAGGAAGGAGGTGACAAGCATACACTTACTCAGCACCTGCATGTAGCAAATTTTTTTGGCCCAACATACTTTACAGTATTAGCACACCCTTCCTCTGCAGCTCCACGACTTTGCCAAGCTCAATGAAAACATCTTCTATGTCTACAACGACATTGAGTACTTCAAAGACGAACCGCAGAAGATCTCCATCACGTGTGAGGAGGACATCCATGTGACTGAAGAGGTCTATAAGAGGCCTATGTTCACCATGCCAGCCTACAGGTTGTTTAATTTGTTCCTCACACGTCTGTTCACATGTGGCTACCTGCCATAGAATATGCGGGGTATGTTATAAATAGTAACGCCTATTTGTGCAAAGGCTGGTTGCCCTGCTTTTTTGGAAGAAAAGGGGGCGGGTGCATAAAAACTAAAGATTGCAGCATCCTGTTCTCAATCAGATCAGCAGCGTCAGCTTTTATTGAGATGTCATGAGCTGCTCACAACATTTTCAGGGCAGGAGTATGTTGTGCGCAGAGGGGAAAGCTGAGGCCTAGTCACTGGCTCTCCTTGAAGTTTTGTAATCAAAGAAAGCAGCAGGATGTTTTATTTCAGATAGTTTGAAATTGCAGGTGGGGGACTTTTAAGGGAACGTTAATGATCCCATGATTTTGATCTCTCATCCCTTGTGGATTGCAGGAGGAGGAAGTTTCTGTGCGAGACTCATGAGATTAGTAAACACAACATGAGGGAGCTCAGCTGTCAAGTCTTATTTTAGGTCAAATGTGCATGTGTGGTGTGTTATGACATACATAAGGGCAATATTGACACAACACAGGTGCATGGTTCAGCTCTCAATCTGTTGTGTTGCAGGTACTACAGATTACCACTACCAATGGAGGGAGCCCCATTGGAAGAAGACTTTGACGCATTTGTTAACATACTCCGGGTAAGCACATGTAAAAATGTCAGTCACGGTAACAGTCCACCAATTAAGCCTTTTTTTGATTGTGCTCTTCTTGATGGGATCTTGTTTTGATGTGCCATAATGGCTGGAATATTGGAGAGCATCTGGACTTTCTCAGTGAGATAGCGAGAAGGTCATTTGAATCCACATGTAGCCATTTGAAGCTGTCCTGTCTGTGCTATCAATCACTAGGAAGTGTGATAGTTATTAAAGAATAGCAGAAAACCTGCAGTCTGTACTCACTTTCTATCAGCTTTTTGGTCATCCGCTCTGTCTGGTTTCCGTCCTGCCCTTCACTCACACAGGATATTCTTTTTGTCTTGTTTTGCCCTTTTTTGGACTGACGTGCAGCAGCCGGGCCAGTTCCTTGTGGGTGGAAAGTGGCTCCAGTGTGTGTGTGTGTGTGTGTGTGTGTGTGTTTGGATCTGAGCTTTGCCGAGTCCCGTCATACTCTTTCTATCGCCCTTTCTTTCTGTAATTCTTACTCTTACTCATGGCATTGTCCTGTATTTGCTGGTGCAGTTATAACTTCCAGGATGTTTTCTCACTTCCCATTTCTTTGGTTTAAACAGGCTATAAAACAAGTTTGCTTATCTCAACTCATATATTTCCAAAATGACATTAGGAACCAACCAGTTTGTACTGATTTTGTGATTTGCAGCTTTTCAATGACTGTGATGCAAGTTGTATGTAACCTTATGCCCTTTTAAAACTACATTTCAGCCAAATTTAGTTTTACCCTGCAACAAAAAAAAGACATGCTCACAGAGCATATAACATTGTTCATCTCTGTGGTTTCACAGTCTGCCTCTCCTTCTATATGTGCTATTTACCAGGAGAGCACCAGCTTGTCTCTGGGCCAGGATGCGTCCCGGCGGCTGCCTGCTCTTCTCTTCAGCTGCCAGGTGGGCGTCGGTCGCACCAACCTAGCCATGATCCTGGGCACTCTGGTCATGAATCGCCTAAGGGGTGACTCACAACCGCCGCATCAGTAAGAACTCAGCATCTGGAAATCAGAGAATGAGCAGCCTTTAAACTGGTTTCATTCAGCCTTTTTTGGTGCGTGGTCAGGTAGGACTTGAACTTGTTTGCCTTATTTTGCAGAGTTGAGGAGGCAGCTGCTTCAGAGCCCAAACCACTGTTCAAGGTCATCCAGTCTTTGATCAGCAAACTGCCTAATGGACAGCAGGTCATGGAGGAGGTAAAGCAGATCACTTACAACATCCCAGTTTAAGAAAAACAAAATGGAATTATTCAGAAAAGTATTTCAAACATTTTTGGAGCGGCATTTTTGATGACACTCAAAATTTGCAAATGTCTTGTTCTTAACTGACAGGTTGACCAGGCTATTACTCTGTGTTCAGAAATGCACAACATAAAAGAAGCAATATATGAGAACAAGAGTAAGCTGGAAGGAATTGGAGAAGATTATCAAATTCAGGTTGGTGGTGATCCTATTTTTTTTGGTTTAAGATGTGATTTAGCAGTGCTGAGAGCAACCTGAAATTTCTCTTCAAAGTCAGCACCTTGTGTTGCTTGATTTCCATCGGCTTCTGCTGCTCAATTTATGCTCTGCTAAATAAAGCAAGAGTGAGGCACAAATCAAAGGATGATGATGCATGAAATGTCCTTATTGGTGTGGGCCCTAGAGCTGAAGGAGGACTTAAGTGATGAATAACATTAGAGAGTTTAATTTATTTTGTATAATTTTCTCCTGTCTGTCAGGAATATGAAATACTACTATAATATTAAAGTTTTTGTTTGTTTTTTAGGGAAGCAGTACCAAAGACTACTTTCTCACCAGAACCATGCAGAGCTTGGAGCGCTACTTCTACTTGCTTGTATTTAATGCATACCTTCACGAACAGGTAAAGTTTTTTTTGCAGTGTACATTTCTTTATTAACATAAGTAAAACTATTTACAAGCCATTAAAATAATCTTGAATTATAAATATATGTTTGGTTTTGCAGTATCCTCTTGCCTTTGTGTTCAACTTCAGCCAGTGGATGTGCTGCCACGCGTGGCTGTACAGGTTACTGGCCTGCATGGACCTATCAGAGCTCTCGGCCCCGGCAGAGCTGGTCACCAGAGGAGCTCGTGTCCTGGTGCGGAAATCAGGCACTCACATCAACGACTGATTCTGTGATCGTTTTTGATTATACTGTTCTCTGTGTCTGTAATGTGAAACCAAAACCAAATCATGCAGGATATATATACCCACTGATAAAGCTTGCCACATAATTTTTCAAGATATCTCTCATCTTCTGAAACATCATGTAATCGCCATTATCTTCAAGTGCGCTATCTATTACATGTTATTAATAATGTATAACTGCATGTGTCTGCACAGGTTGCTGATGAGTGCTTGGCTCCGGACGTGCTCAGCACAGTGAAGGAGATGAAGGCGGTCAACTTCAGACGAGTGCCCAAGATGGCTGTTTATGGAATGGCTCAGCCGACATCAGAGGTTCAACAGATTCCCTCATACTTTCGTCAAATGAATACAAAAGCTCACATTTAATTTGTGACAATACTGAAGCGCATATATCCTAAAAATGATCTTCAAGAATTGAAAAGGAGATTATTTGTGTGTTATGTGTCATTTTTTTTGGCTTATTAGAGATTGTAGTTGACTTACAAGGAAGTGAAAGGGTAGGAAATATAATACTACAAATAGACTCAGAAGAATGGCTCATGATGGTTTTGTGGAGACTTGTGCGCCCACCTCAGGATGCTCGAGCCTAACTTCCAGCTCCTTGCCGTCTAATCGAAATTATGCTGCGTACAGGCTACTGGAGCAGTTTTGGCCCATCTGACGGATGAGAAGAGGAAGCACAGCCATGTGTTGTGGGTCAACTTGCAGGAGGAGCTGGTGCTTGAAGGGAATGGTCAGATTTTTACACCAAGGGAGCCCTCGTGCCTGGACCAGCACATTCCTTTCCCCTCATCCGACCCACAGCTAATTGAGGTGGAGTGAAAATGATGCTATTTTAGATGATCAAGAGTGCCTGGCTTACTAGCTTTACCATCAGAAACTTTAGAGTTCGGTCTAGCTTCAGACAGTTAAAGTGTAAGTGCTCTCATGTACCCTCCTGCGCTGTAGAAAGTGGAGACATCCCTGAAAGAGGAGATCCTGCGATCTCAAAAGTGGCTCGAGGTGACACTGGAGCAGGAGAAACAGATGAAGATGTTTAAGAGCTGCCTGACGGTCCAGGAGATCTTCAATCAGCACAAAAGTTCCCACCAGGGCCTCATCTACAAACGCATCCCCCTGCCAGACTGCAGTGCGCCCAGGGAGGAGGTAATGAGCACACAATATTTACTCCATTTACATGCGGTGCAGAAATAGCTATAAAGTCCCCTCCAAAAATATTGGAACAGTATGGCAAATTACTTTGTTTTTGTTGATCACTGAAGACATTTGGGTTTAAGATCAAAAGATGAGTATGAGACAAGAGTTGAGAATTTCAGCTTTTATTTCCTGGTATTCACATCTAGATGTGTTAAACAACTTAGGAAATATCGCTGTTTGTATTAGACCACAGCATTCTTAGGTGTGCAAAAGTAAATGAACAAATAATATTAAAGTAAATAACATTGAATATTTGGTGGCATAACCCTTGCTTGCAATAACTGTTGATTTCTTTATTTGTGATGCCATTCCAGGCTTTTACCGCAGCTTCTTTCAGTACTTGTTTGTTTCGGGGTGTTTCTCCCTTCAGTCTCCTCTTAAGGAGGTGAAATGCAGCTCAATTGGGTGAAGGTCAGGTGATTGACTTGGCCAGTCTAAAACCTTCCACTTTTTTCCCCTGATGAAGTCCTTTGTTTTGTTGGCAGTGTGCTTTGGGTCATTGTCCTGCTGCATGATAAACTTCCTCCCGATTAGTTTCAATGCATTTCTCTGCAAATTGGCCGATAAAATGTTTCTGTACACTTCTGAATTCATTCTGCTGCTACCATCATCAGTTACATCATCAATAAATATTAATGAGCCTGTTCCAGAAGCAGCCATGCACGCCCAAGCCATGACATTACCTCCATCATGCTTCACAGATGAGCTTGTATGCTTCGGATCATAAGCAGTTGCTTTCTTTCTCCACACTTTGGCCTTTCCATCACTTTGGTAGAGATTAAAATTGGTCTCATCAGTCCATAAGATTGTGTTCCCGAACTTTTGTGGCTCATCTCTGTACTTATTTGCAAATTTCAATCTGGCCTTCCGATTCTTCCTGCTGATGAGTGGTTTGCATCTTGTGGTGCGGCCTCTATATTTCTGCTCTCTGAGCCTTCTTCCAACAGTGGATTGTGATACCTTCACCCCTGCACCTGTTTGACGTCTGTTGCTCAGTACACCAGTAGTTTCTTTCATTTTCAGGACATTCAGAATTGTTGTGCTTGTAATGCCCAGTGTTTGTCCAATGGCTCTGGTCGATTTTTCCTTCTTTACTCAGTTTGACAATGGCTTGCTGTTCTCCCATAGACTGCTCTCTGGTCTTCATGTTGGTTTATCCTCTTTAACAGATAATGCAGTCTTTTTATGGTTTGAACCAAGGATGAAAACTTAGACTAGTCATGCAGAGCTATTTAATGTTTGGACAATCAACTTAAAATGCAACACCTGGGCAACAACATCTGTCAATAGTTTTGCTCACTTGAAAAATTGGTGGGTTCAAACAAAGGGTGGTATGTCCTGAGTCGTTTAACACATCTAGATGTGAAAACCAGGAAATGGGAGCTGAAATTCATTCATACTCATCTTTTGATCTTAAAACCAAATGTCTTCAGTGAACAACAAAAACAAAGTAATTTGCCTTACCGTAAGCCTTGTGCTCCCTCTGTTGGTTAAGAAGGGTACTGTCATACTGATCTTTTTACCACACAGTGATGTAATTTCTAAGCACTTTTTCACAACCACTCAAATACTCAATCTTTTTCTTCATTATTATTCAATCATTTTGCGTATTTCTATTAGAATGTTTGTTTAAATGTGAAGTAAAAATGTAGAATTAGTTAGAAATCAGCTTGAAGCAATTTGATTTAGCCTTATGTTAATGAATTTTATGTATTATGCATATCTGTTAACGGAAATGAGTTCAATTAAGATTCTGTGTAAAATTTAAGTAAAGTATGTGATTAATATGATACCGATATGTTGCTTTACCTTTTGATTCCTTGTGATGAGATATTATGATAAAGTTTGTGTGCGTGTTTTTGTACATTAACTGTTTTTGTGTGTGTGTTCTTGTTCTCAGGATTTTGATAGGCTGTTGGAGGCCATGAAGAGTGCCTTGGCTGAAGACTCTCACTCAGCCTTCGTTTTTAATTGCTCCAACGGCAAAGGCAGGACCACGACCGCCATGGTTGTCGCTGTTCTGACTCTCTGGCACTTTAATGTAAAATTTCTGCACATTCATTAACGCCCACAGTATTATAATACCATTTACCTAAAAAAAGATCACATGTACAATGTTTTCATCACCCAAAATAAGATTTAAAACTGGTGTCTTCCACCTGCAGGGTTTTCCAGAGTTTGGTGATGATGAGATTGTGAGTGTCCCTGATGCCAAGTACACAAAAGGAGAATTTGAGGTATGTACATTTTTTTTTTTTTTTTTTTTAAACCAATGCCTTATCCAAACAAAAGTTTTGTCATTTTTTAAGCAAACATATTTTCTTATTTTAGCATCTTAAATACGAAGAGTTGATGCTTTTCTTTGTCATACATGATTGGAAATATTTTTGGACTGATTGGTCAGACATTTGAAGATGCCTTCTTGAGATGTG